AGACTAAAGGCCACACTCAACAGCAAAAGAAGCTTTTCAATCTGCATGGCAGACTGTGCATCGATGGGGATGGTGTGGCTGAGGTCAATCCATAGGACATGTCCCAGTGATTTTATTTTATTTGAAAGATTTATTTATTAATGTTTTTTATTGTACATGTATGAGTGTATTGCCTTCATGTGTTTAAGTGCACCTGTGTCGTGCAATGCCCATTGAAGTCAGAAGAGGGCATTGGACCCCCTGGAATTGGCGTTATAGATGGTTGTTAGCCAACATGTGGGTGATGGGAATTGAACCTGTGTCCTCTGCAAGAGCAGCCAGTGTACTTACTTAACAGCTGAGCTATCTTTCCAGCTGGATTTTTTTTTTTAGTGTGTATGCATGTTATGCCTGCATGTGTGTAAGTGCACCTGTGTCATGCAGTGCGTGTGGAGGACAGAAGAGGGTGTCCAATCCCCTGGAACTGGAGTTATGAACAGTTGTTAGCCACCTTATGGGTGCTGGGATTCAAACCCTGGTCTTCTTACAAGAACAGCCAGTGCTCTTAAACTGCTGAGTCATCTCTCCAGCCCCTGAAAGATTTATTTTTAATTATGTGTATGTGTGTGTGTCTGCGTGGGCGTATGTGCATATGGGTGCAGGTGTCCACAGAGGCCAGTGGTGTTGGATCCCCTGGAGCTGGAGTTACAGACGTTTATGAGCCACTCAATGTGGATGTTGGAAACCGAACTCAAGTCCTCTGGAAAAGCAAAAAATACTCCTAACCCCTGAGCCATCTCTCCAGCCCCTCTCAGTGATTTTTATCAAGCCCATTTCACAGATGGGTAGATGGGGGAAAGGGAGCAGGGTTTGAAACATGGCAGATGATCAAGACTATCAGTAAACCAGCAGTTCCATGAATGAGCCCTGGTTCTCATAAAGCTCAGCCTGGATGAGAGAATTCCCATGAAGAGAAGTGACAGCATTTCAAGGCAGATTATATATTTATGATCAACATGTATGATTTTGGGAGATATCAAGAAAACTGTGCCCAAGCCAGGCATGATGGCGCATGCCTTTAGTCCCAGCACTTGGGAGGCAGAGACAGGCAGAGCTCTGTGAGTTCGAGGCCAGTCTGGTCTACAAAGTGAGTTCCAGGACAGCTGGGGCTACAGGGAGACCCTGTCTCAAAAAGACAAAACAAAAAACAAGAAAAGAACAAACCTGCTGTGGCTATCAACAGTTCTCTAAGAGGCTAGGTCCCACACTTCCTGGATTGAGTTGTTCTGTTTTTGTTCATAATCTTGACCTGTAAATTCCACAGTTGTAGAGAAAGTTTTCCCTGAGATTTTAAGTTCTTAAAAACTGTGTGTAAGCATCATTGTACTTGGGATTTGCCTGCTACTGGGCAGCTGCGTTCATTTTCCATATTTCTTCTGTATGACCAAAACAACCAAAGTTTAAAGAAAACCACATATGTCTGCAGCTTTATAATAGCTGATGCAATTCAGTGTTGGCATGACAGACCGCCTCCCAGACCGTGTCATCCCAGGGGTTTTCCAGCGGTGAGTCGCTGTTAGTGTCCCTATGATCTGCTTGCTTGTTTTCACTTTTTCTTTGGTCGAATAACCTAGACATGTTGATAATCTGTATTCAGTTTACCATTAAACAATGCATTTTATAAACTTCAGTGTCATTCAGACCTGCAGTTAACCTTTCCTCAAAATTAACAAGTCTCGGCAGAGGTAAATTGCAGATAGGCAAAATATGAGTAAATAATGTGGTATTGCATCTACGTAGCTCACACTTGCACACACTGAAGTTTGGACGTCAGATGCTTTTTCTGCCTAGAGAACTTAGGTAGAAAGAATTTGTTTTCCAAAATGGCGCTCACTGTTCTGTCCTGTGTATGCAGACATACTGGCACGGCCGCTCTGTCATGCTGGGGTGGTTTTTTCCTCTCAAGCCACAGGCACAATAGTTTGTAGTACATGCTCCCAAGTTTCAGTCTCATAGAGAATCAGGGCACACTTCGGTTCAGTGACTGTGGGAACCACTGCAGTGGTAAGGAAGGAAATACTGCGACAGTTCCCAAAAGCAGTGGGCCATACGTACAAGCTTGCATCTTAGGGGGAACATGCATATTTCAGAATGCATCTAGTAGAGAACAGAACCCGAACACGTTCATTTTGTGAACTGTTTGACAAAAGTCTGTGGATTTCTTTAAAATGTATAGCTAACTTTTCAGAAAAGATTTATTCATACCAAAAATATTTTAAAACATATATATTAACTTCTAATTAAATCCGAATTATAGCCAAGGATCTGTACTTAGGAGTCTGAGCATCCTAGAAGCTTCTCATTTTCCTTACCTTTTGCTGGTAGCCTTCACAGTCCGAGCTGCCTTCTGGGCTGTCTCCAGATTATCCTGTTAGGTCTGCTGCAGAGAAACCATGTACAGGAGGCCTGTTCTGGGAATCTGAACACTCCTGCAAAGCACCAACAAGTTAGCTTGAAAATAGCAAAGGGCCACAGGGAGATCAGAGGTGGAAACTGCTGAGGGTGCGCAAAGATAAATACCAGGTTCTAGCTCATGTTTGGAGCTGTGGGAGAATTAAGAAAGGAGAGGCGGGAAGGGGGGGAGTTGTTGTTACAACAGGATTTGTCGAAACCGGAAAGCTAGAAATGCTTTTGTGTCACTGTGTGCAGAGGAGGAATTATTTGGGTGCATACAAAAAGGCTTTCTTGTCTTTTAATACTATGTTTTAGTCACATAGTTATAATTTAGTTTTGAATTTTTGTCTGTGTTGGAAGATACAGTTTATTTTATGTCCTTGTTAAAGAATGTAGTCTGAAATATTTTTAACTGGATTATATTTTGCAAATGACGGTTGAAACTATCACTTTAATATTCTGCTTATTGTCATGTGAAACTGAGACTCACAAATTTGTTAACTTTTAAAATAACCTCTCAGAAGAAAATTTTCTTTGATTTTTTTTTAATTAAACAAAGCCCAGCAACAACTTTTGACAAGAATCTGACCAAGTCCTACAAACATTTTTGTTTTATATTGCCTTAAATTCTCTTCTATTATTCCTTCCACTGAAAAAGATTTTTATGCTATAAATACATAAATTAGAGACTTTAGAAAATGTTGCACAGAAATTATAATAAATTATACGGTAAAGTTTAGCGGATAAAGCATTGGCCACTTGCTGAACATGGACACTGATGAATTTGACTTGCCCTTTTGAGTTATTTTCTTTTCTCTCTTCCTTCGTAATTTTAATTTCACAAGTTATAAAGTACATAGCCATTGTACAGAAAGAAGGCAGCTTTATGATTATATTTTTAGGTTTTGCAGCTGAACATTTTCAGGTGTCTGGATTCCCTACTGTTTTTCTTTCTGTGTAGTCTTTCCTAACTTTAGTATTTAGCAAGATTGTTTTTCTGTCTTAGGAATCTAACGTCCGTGGATTTCTTTTTCAAGCTGTAATGCCCTTGGTGCATGGACTTTTTTTCCTTTGTGGAAGTACGCACACAATTCTATATATGCCTGGTGGAGTGAAGTTTAAGTTAAATAACAGCTCCGTTGTCTCTGAAGCTTCAGAAGAAGCCCTACAGGCCCTTCAGTCCTGGTCTGACACCTCACCAGAGGTGGTTAGAACTCTTGACTGGCAGATGAGAGGTAGAGGAACTGAGTTCTTGGCTCTAACGCCTGCACAAGTGAGGCTATCCGGAGGTGAATTTGGAACTATAATGCGTCAACATTATCTGCTTGTGATATGGTCACTAGAGGTTGTTTAAGATCAGAGACTTTCCTGGGTACATCTTAGTTTAAAGCGCTTGCCTGGCCCTCTCCCTGAACTCCAAAGTTGGACTTTTAGCCACTGCCTTGACATGGCTTGACTCATAGATATGCAAACCTACCAGAGCACACACTGTACCCCTTACCTTCCCCAAACCTACTCTCTGGGTGTTAAGTAGTTTCCTCTGGTTTGGCAAGCCTCAAATCCTAAATGCCATCCTTGTTTCTATGTATAGCATCCATTCATTCAGCAAACTGTTTTGTTTCTGACTTCAAAGTAATTCAAGAAGCCTCCACCTCTGAGACCTTGCCTGCTCTGTTGTGGCTGCGTAGTGTGGCAGCGCTACCCTCCCAAGGGCAAGGCCTTCTGTTCATCCTGTTCACAAGATGTCTACTATGTGTTAGGCGAAAACATTCAGAGACTACTTTTGGATATATGAAGTATTAGTTAAGCTATAAATTGCTTTTGAATGATTAAAAACAAATTTTGTCTTTTCTGAAACAGGACTAGCATTTCTCAAGTAATTTTTGGAATTCTTTGCTTTCTCATCTTAGCTAATATCTACCTTTTTTGAACTGAACTGCTTCCTAGATGCTGTGTACTGTTTAAGGCACTGTAACATTTAGTTTTCAAGACAACCTGTGAGGTAAGAGGAATCTGTATTTTACAGATAAGAAAACCCTTTAGAACTAATGTTACTGTGACTATTAAAGGACTGAGTATCGGGAATGGGATCAAGGCCCAGCAGTGTGACCCTGAAGCCGTAGACACTGCCACTCACTAGATGGAAAGTATGCTGTTGTCTCTGCTGCCACCACACGTGCAGACTACTTTACACTCATGCAAAGTTCATTTTGAACAGAGCACTTCATTATTTTCATTTATCTTTTTCTAAGGAAAACTTATGTGAGGTTCCCTTAATGTGTGGTGTCGATTAATGACCCTGACCTGGCTATTCCCACTGTCGTCTATTTCTTTCTGAATCAGTCATTTAAGTATCTTTACGAACAGTAACACCACACCTCCATGGAACCAGTAGCATGTCAAGCACTTGCATTTTTCCTCCACTTTCTCATCACGTGATCCCAATAGCAGTAGTATCCTGAGAGACTGGCGTGATGTCAGCTGTAGAAAGAGAAGCTTGAGGAACCCTGGGAATGAGGGGCATCAGTAAGAACTTGGAAAAACCACCAGACGACCATGGGAATTATGGGAGTTTGTTTATGGAGGGGTTTGTGGGTGGCACAGAACCCCTTGGCTGCGGCTTGTGCATTTAAAGACGTCAGCTCTGAGAGGCTGCTGTAACAGAAAGGACAAAATGAACTAAGCAAATGGTAGCAGGCAGTGCTGTTGAGGAAACAAATTCAAGATAATGGGTGTTTGTAAAGTCTAGAACTACAACTGAACACGGATAGGTACAGTATAGTCAAGGTCATGTTCAATGTGTTTAAAAAAATCATCTTTGCTTCCAGTCTATATTAACATCCTCTATTTTGATAATAAATGTATAGGAGGGGTCTGGGGCTTGAATCTGATAGAACACTTTCAAAGGGCACATAACAGAACCTCTGACAGTAGATGAGACCATAGGATGCTGGTTTGGAAGGCCGCATCCAGGCTGCATCTGTAGTTTAAAGCTGTCTTCGGAGTCTCCTGCCCTGCTGTCTTCCAGACCCTTCAGGTTGCAGTCTTGGCTTCTCTTGGACACAGCTGACTCCGATATCATATCCACATTCTCTGTGAGTGGATGAGGGAACAGTTGCAGCCAAACCTTTCATCAGGAAGCAACGTCATTTTCCAGAAGCTTCCTACCTTCCCAGTGTTTTACTTTTATGCATCACTTTCCCACACTGGCTCATTTAGCCTTCTCAGCTTTGTGGCAGGCTGTGTACTATAGGGTGGGGCTTGGCTTTAGGGTTCATAGCAACCTGCGACTTTAGTCATGACAGTTGGAATTGACTGTGATACTTTCCCAAGCAACAGTGTTACTTCAAGAAGAGAAGCAGCTGAGGTGGTTCCATGAGCCAGGGCCCTGCAGATGCAAGACCAGGCCCACAGACAGGGTTCAAGGGGCCATGACAGCTGTCAGTTGCTCTGATCACATGGCACTGAATACCCTAACCATCATAGAACTTGCAGTTATAGGCAGTTAGGCTCCTTGAGACTAACATGTATTCTGTCAATGGTTATAGCTTGTTATAAATTAATATCTTTGCATCCATGTTCATTCTTCGGTCTTGATAATAGTGTCAATAATTCTTGAGTGCTTCTGTTGATATGGCAGTAATTTCTGAAGACTGATTTTTTGAGGTGCTGCCATTTTCTCCAGACCTGCAAAACTGGGACCCCCCCCCCCCCGCAAGGCAACTCAGGCATCTCTTCCCACACCCACAAACTGTGGTGGGAGTACATGCCAGAACAGTGAACACAGGGACCTCCAGACATTATGCTTCACAAACGCCAAGGCTATGTGGTTCACAGAAAAGATGATGGTGGTGGACAGGTATGTTCCCAGTGAGCATCCAGGAACCCAGATTCAGCTACCAGGAAACCTTCATCCAGCATTTGTTCTGCTTCTTCTTGGGCTTCCGTTAGGATTGAGCATTCACCCCTTGAACTTGTTTTTTTCCCTCTTTGGACCAAGAAGCGCTGCCTCATCTTATGATCACTTCTGAATGTATCACTTACATAGTAGAACCTCTCCACATCCTCTCTGTACTGGGACATCTCTCTTTTTTTCCTTTTTGGTATATGTGTGTGCTACCTGCTTGTGAGTGCAGGTTTGAGTGCACATTTGGAGGCCAGAGGACATCAAGTGTCTTCATCCATCACCCTAAGCCTTATTTCCTTGAGACAGGAGCTCTTACTGAACCAAAAAAAAAAAAATCACCATTTCAGCTAGGCTGGCTGGCTAGCAAGCCTCAGTGTACTCGCACCTGCATATGTACTCATATACACACAGAACACATGTACCCATGTACACAGAACTCATTAGAATATAGACTATAAATTTTATAGAAAGATGTTCAGATACTGAATACATTGTACTTACTAACTATATTGGTTTGAAATCCCTGCAGTGCTGGAAAAACTAAGGTTTCAAACTGAAATTCTGTTCTTAAATTGAGTTTAGAGTAGGGATCACAGGCAAACCAATTCTGGCAAATTTTACCTACATATTCGTTGTTTGTTTTTCTATGCAGTGCATGACTGCCACACGTTAAGTACTGATGAAGTGCCGTGCTGTTATCCTTCCTCCAGGGGTTGTGGCATGGAGGCCCATGTTCTGGTACGACAGTCATTGGCTTGGCAGAGGTTCTTGAACTGTAGACAGACACTAGTGGCTGGAGGAACCGAGCAGCCCCAGGGTATTTATCTGTGTCTTCTCCTGACACTGGATGTGACTCTCCCAGGTTCCTGTCCATCAGACCATCAGGTACAGCCAGCAGCCTCCAAAACTGGTCAGGGACTTCTCGTCGTCAGCCTTGTGTAACAGTTTCACTTTGAATGTAGACTCCTGCGTTGTTCCTGAAGTCTTTCGGCATGTTCCCCGTAGCCTTTCTTTTTTCTCACCAGCCGTGTCATCTCCCGCTAATGACCTGACCTCTTCCGTCATTTTCTCTCTGTAGTGGCTTATCCTTGAATAGTCTTGACCCCCATGGGAATGTTGAATTGGGGACCCTTTCTTAGGTAGTCCCTGGATTGTATTTGTGTTTTCATGGAAGGGGATTTAGCTCTTCACATTATCAGGAACCGGGTTGCTCATGCTTCATTGTCCTCTGTGTACCGTAGGGATTAGGAGTCTGAGTTGTAATAGCCAAGATTTGAGGTGAAGTGCTTTCTTATAGCCATGTGTGGAAGTGCACACATTTAGTCCCAGCACTCAGGACGCACAGACAGGTAGATCTCTGTGAGTTCAAAGGCTAGCCTGGTGTACATAGGGAGTTTCAAGCCAGCCAGTGCTACATAGTGAGACAGAGAGACCCTGTCTCAAGAAAATAAAAAACAGCAAAAACACTAGTTTCTTAGTATGGTCCCCATGAGTCCCGGGTGCTTCTCTAAGCTGATAGTGCTCACATCACCTTTGGGTATGTGACACCCAAGACTGGCATTGTTGAGGAACAGTCAGCTTGGTACAATATCAACGTTATGGTGAGTTAGAGGCAGAAGTTTAAATTCAGTTTAAATCCTTTCATGTGAAGCATTAATAGGTCCTTTTGTACACTGAATGATTAAGTTTGGAAAGAGGCTGGCAGCATTAAGCTCGAATATTTTAAGCGCATTGGGTTTCTTTTTTACTGATTTTTCTTTTTTGTAATCTAACTCAATAGACTTGAAATTCAAGAGAGAAAAATGATTATAGTATTAAACAACCACTCAATTATAAGTAAAAAGCACTTTGTATTTGTTACCATAGTTACCAAGCACCCTTCCTGTGTGGTTCTAGAGAAAATGGCCTCCATCATTTAGAGTAATTTCAAGAAGTGCTTTTGGAGGAAGGAGTAGAGGAAAGAGTGAACAGAGTGCCCCCTGCCCTGAGCTGGAGACGTTGCCACTGAGCTTTAGCGTCCTCTGCCCCTTAGTATTGTTTGTAAATGGGAGTTTTCTTGCAGCTGTGATGTTAGGCAACTTAACTGGGTACCAGAATAATATTCTAACTCTGGAAATCTGCTTGCTTATGTGGGGTTCTTACATATTTCTGTAGCATTTCAAGGCTATTTAAATAAAGCAAGCATTAGAAATTTCCCGTATATGCAAACACCAACTGTATGGCAAAGGAATGAAATCAAGCAGTTAGAGTGAAACCAAACTATAAACCCTGGAAAGCAGCTGTAAGTAGAAGTTGCTGTGTAGGAAGGCCGGCATATCCATCCCTGAACTTGCACCTTTGGTCTTAGCACTGTTTGAACCTTGTAGTATGTTGGTACTATTTCCTAGCTCCAGGTTGGATGGGACTAAATTTTATCTCCTACTATATATTTGCTGAAAGGTGATTTCTTTGGAGACCAGCAGGTTGTTGGGTATGCACACTGGACTGCAGAACTCCTTAGAGCTGACTGTGTAACTTGGGAGAACTGGGTGAGAAACGTTGGAAGAGATGATTGTAGAGTTGCCAGCAGGAGGGAGGAACTGAGATGCCAGAGAACTTAGACGGTGTAGGCCATGGGGTCACAGAGTGATGAGGCAGAGTGAAGCATAGAGGATGCTCTGGAACCTTCCCAGGCACCCTGAATCAAGATGAATGGCGAGGATGGGCAAGTCAGAGTATGCGAGCAGTCAGATGGTTCTCTGACATTTAGTCATTGTGGTGTATCTTGGGCTGCTTCTCCTTCCTACCCATGGAGTTTGTTTCCTTCCATAGGCATGCCTAAGAGGAGCCATCCTCTCTCTGCAGAGTGCCTACACTCTGAAGCCTACCCCTCAGTCCCCTTTACGGTGACTGCAGTCCTCAGTGTGTTCTACTCACGTCTAAGAGAACACTACAGGAAGTTTATGTTGCTAATGTGCACAAAACTGATTAAGCAAAAAGTAGTTACGTTTAGCATCGCACTTAGTATTTATAACCACTCTTCAGCATAATGATCTTCCCAAAGCAGTTTGGAGCACATTTGGAACCTTTTTTCTTTTCCAAGTCTCATATCCTAGCCTGATTTTTTTTCCTTGAACCCAAAAGCAAACCAGTGCTGTCCATCCACATACATTACCTGCCGTTTTAAAGGAGTTGTGTAGCCACAAGGGTTGTGAGAAACAATCATGTGCAGAGAAATTGGTGGCCTTAAGGCATTAGAGAACTAGACCTTTTGAAAAGCAGCAGCACAGCCCTGCTGCCTACGTTGTGCTTGCTCCACCTTTGGAGCAAGTTCAGTTCTGGGGACAGTGCTGCAGTTACAGAGCTTCGGTGTCCTTTCAGGGTCTGCCAGGCACCCGTGTCCACGTGCCAGGACTGCTTTGACTCCATTTCTCCCGTTGTCTTTACTTTTAGCATTTTTCCTGTGATAGTGGCTTTCCATGACTGATTCATGAGTCCATATTTGGAAAAGGGTTACAGATAAGTCTTTTACCAAATATGCCTGAAAAGCTTATCTTCTGATAAAGAATCTCAACCACCATAGCAGCCTAAATACTGTCCATCCAGTAGTAATATTTTTAAAATTCCATATTCAGTTTCAATTCTGCCCCGTCTCTGAGGCATATAACATTGGTACTGGAAAGTTCTGTGCCTATTCAGACTCTGCACAGGAACTCAGTCCACCTGAGTAATCAGTGTCTATACCCAAAATAGCTGGTGTCCTAAATGAGCCCCTTTCTGGGGAGTTTTGCACTAAGTGGTCCTTGGGGGCTCTCTGCCTCCTCTCTGTTTTTAATCCTCGCTTGTGGCCAGAGCCACTGCTGCAGCTTGTTGGCCCTTCACAAGCTGCCAACCATTACCTGCTCACTGGCTGCACCCATATGCAGATGGACTTTAAAAGGCCATCATAACTCTACATTTTAAACTTAAGTGGTCATCAGGCCCAGGTCTAATGGACATTATTGTGGATAGATGCAGCCAGCTGGGATTTCTGCAGCCACCCAGAGCTTAGCTTCTTGCGTGTCCAGAGAAAATACAAGCATATTGAAAGGTTTATGAAAACTGCTCTCCACAGCCCATGCTTCTGTGGTTTTCAGAGATGAATTGTGTTGGCTGGGGATATACACCTCAGTGGTACAGCACTTACTTAGCATGCATGGTGATATATGTTTGCTTGTACTGAAGGTGGACGTAGGAGTGGTGCGCTTCACACCCTTGGTACAGCCCAAGATAAAGCAACCATTCAAGCTGGTGGAAAAAGTTGTTCAGAATGTGTTTCAGTTCCGAAGGAAATACTGCCACCGAGGGCTTGGGTAAGAATCCTCCTTTATTTTATGATTCTTAAAGGTGTCTGTAATGCTCTTGGTTTAGATGCTGTGATAGACAAAACAGTAACCAGTGAAGAAAGGCCTTGCGTTTACCTTAAATGCAAATACAGGTTTGGTTTTGTTTGGTCTTAAGTACAACCTAAAACCAATAATTGCACAGCCTGTGCTGACATGCTATTAGGATGGTCCTGGCTTCTCAGGACTCACACAGACACAGGTGAGCTTATATAGTGTTTTCTTAGTGCCAAGTTGCCATCCCTCTTCCTTAAGGACACATTTGAGAACTAGAAAGCCAGTATAAACTCTCTAGCCATGGTCTTCCTACAGCATCTTCCTGTCTTCACTCAGTGGGGACCAGATACACTTACACACACATACACACCCTCCAGAAAGTTGAGAATAAGCTGTAGCTTAGAGGTTATGTGCTGGATGGTCTTCGCAGTGACTACACCAATTAGTTTCTATTTAGTGGGTTTTAAAACGTTTAGTTGGGTATGATTATAGTCTGTTAAGAAGAGAAGAAAGACTGGGTGTGGTGGCATATGCCTTTAGTCCCAGCACTCAGGAGGCAGAGGCAGGTAGATCCCTATGAGGATGGAGACCAGCCTGGCATGGTGTACATAACAAGTTCCCAGCCAGCTGGGGCTACATAGTGAAACCCTATCACAAAAATTTAAGAACGGGGGTGGGGTTGTAGAAAGTGTATTTTTTAAACTTTCCACTTAATTTATTCAACATTTCTCTGTTTAAGGGGCTCAGCTTTACTTTTCACCTTCTAAGGCTTCATAGGTGCTCTCTAGCCATGAACTGTGTGGCTTAGCACATGAAAGTACTGTAGGTAGCCATGTAAAGTACAGCTTAGCACATGAAAGTACTGTAGGTATGGCTAGGCAGCTGCACCCTGAAACTGTTGCCACTCACAAAATTCCCTTGATTTTGGATGATGAGTGGTAGTTTTCAGCCTGTCATTTTTTAACTCTTAGAGTTTAACTCATACATGCTAGCCCTGATTCAGGGGAAAAGTAGATCACAAAAAGTTGATTTTACTTTTGGAGATTATGGAATTAATTGGCCTGACCTACAGCTGGCCCTAGTGTTTCCAAGGTAACTGCCCAACTATGAGATGGGCCTATTCATTTCAGTACACCTTCCTCTGTACAGCTGTGGGCCAAATATTGAGGTTCACATTGAAGCACAACTGTTGGTGTCAGTCATACCATACTACAAAGTGGTCTCCATGTATTAAAAACAGTTATCAGACGTTGCTTACCCCAGAACTGAACTCAGCAGTTTGTCACCTCATTCTGAAAGTTGGGGAATGTGCATCACCGTCAGCCTGGAAGGAAAACTCAGTCTCCACCAGCCCTTTGGGATATGCTCCATGGTCTCTCAGATCTAAGACAAGAAACAAGGTCCAAGAGTGCTTTTGCAGAGTTTCAAGCAGTTAGGTTCACTGCTTTAAAGCAGCTGACTCAGTTTGCTTAAACAAAATTTAAAATACATACTTTGAATTAAAAGTATCTTAAAGAGAATAACCGTTTTTATATCAGCTGTCTTAAAACTTTGCAAAACAGATCACTCTTTTGGAACAAAGCCTCAAAGACTGATGCATTGAAGTTACAGAGAATCAAAACCAGACCCTGGTCACATAAGGGATACAGCTTTCACCAAATGAGGCAAATCAAAGCATTTCCACAAGATTTCAGCTGAGCAGTTATTTTAAATTTACCTTAAAGATAGGTGTGTCAGTTTGGCTTTTGAAAATATTTTTCTGTTTCTGAGACATACCTTGCAAGTCTTAGCTTAGATCTGCCTCCACTGCATCAAACTGGAGTCTTGTGGAACCCAGGCGGCTCTAGAAGGCCAACCTTCAGCCATTTCTCAATATGTCCTCTCGTGTGGGTAGAAAGGTATCAGGACTGAAGCTTTTTTCTTCTTCTTCCTTCACCTTTCCTCTCAGAATGTTATTCCCCGAGGCTCAGCGCCTGGAAAGCACTGGGAGACTGTTACAGCTAGCAGATATTGACCCAACTCTCCGGCCTGTCCACCTCTCGCTGACACATTTTAAGAGCCTGTGTGATGTGTACAGAAAAATGTGTGATGAAGACGCACAGCTCTTCGCTTATAATTTCAGAGAAGAGCTCAAGCAAAGGAAAAGACAAGACCAGGAACAAGAGGACGACACGGAAGACTGTGAGTCTAGTGCTACAACGAGGGTGCCGAGCCTGACAGGTTGACCGCCACGGCAGGGAGCTGCCACACAAGTGCTCGTTTGTCTTTACAGAGTGATAGTCAAATACCAGTGACCAGGTGACTTACGTTCCATGTACTGTACAGCTTGGTAGAGAAAATAAATATCAAGTAAGATACAGTACAAGCTTCCTTTAATATGTATACTGCATAGATATGACAGGTGTAGTATAAACAGCATCATTACAATCTTACAAAAACAAAATATCCACATATTGTACCCCTAAACCACATTAAAATAACTTAAATGTGCTTTAAATAAAGCAAAAACTATCAGGCTCAAAGAAAATGCCTAAAGGATTGGAAAAAAAAATGACCCTTTTAAAAGTTATTAATCACAACTTTCCCATTCTTCCACATAACTTAAGTAGAATGCAATTTTATTACAAGACTTTTAAATCGTTTTGATTCCTGCTCAAAAGGGATTATAAGCTAAGTAATTTACAGAGTCTGACCAGCTTAATCTAGTTTTCTGATCCACAATAAATTAAAATAAGTTAAATCTTTACAGTTTTGTGGGAAAATGTATACCGCACAGAAGCCAACGATGAGTAGTTTTCCTGCGACTTCTCCTTTCCCACCAGGTGAAAAGTAAACGAGCAGTGTAACCCACGCGGCACAGACTGCACTAGGATTTGCCGTGACTCTGCGCTTCGTAGAAACATTCCTCGTTGACAACCGAAGTCAAGCTCTGGACGCTGAATTCTCGCTCCAGAACCAAATTTAGATCAATGTTGGCATTTTCAGGGTGGCTGTCAAGGGACTGGTGACGAGTCTGCGCCTTGAGCAAAGTTCCTCTGTCCCTCTTGGTGCTGTTTGCTTTCCGTTTAATGGGGCAGAAGTGGCCCCTGACCAGCTTGGGCTGCTGCCTAGCCGGATGCATGTCGGGCTCCTCAGAGATCCTCAGTCTCTGGAACTGAAGTTCAATGTCCTTCGTGGGGCTGCCCGGTTTCAGAGGGTGGGGGCAGTCGTCTTCTTCATCGCTCAGAATATCACTCTCTTTGATGAGACTGTCTGGAAACTCTGCCAGGCCCTCATGAGGGTCTCTGTCAGGCACAGTGTTCCCACCGTCCTGCCTGCTCTCAGCCACCAGGCAGCCACTGCTCTGGGTGCCGCTGCTCAGGCTGCACTCGTCAGAGTCCAGTGAGTTGCCTTTGCTGGACTCACTGGGCCACTCGCTGCTGGAGGACGTTCTGAGAACCTTCAGAGACCTGGAGGAAGCTACAGAGAGAGAAGCACATTGCTCACCATGGCACAGAAACAGACTCCACAGAGTGGAGGTTTCGCCTCATGCGATGGGACACTTGGCATTGTGATTTAGCATATGATTTCAGCTGTCTACCTTGGCATTTAGGCACAAACATGGAGCTATATCAAACAAGGAACTTTTATCTTTTTGAGACAGGGTCTCCCTGTAGTCCCACCTAGCTACTCACTATGTAGACCAGGCTGGCCTTGAACTCAAAAAGATCTGCCTGCCTCTGCCTCCCAAGTGCTGGGTTTAAAGGTGTGCACCACCATGTATGCTTAGGTCTTCAGGGGTTTTGTTTTCAGACAGGGCCTCATGTAGCCCAGGCTGGCCTCAAACTCACTATGTAACCGAGGATGACCTAGACCTGATCCTTCTGTTTCTACGTCTTGAATGCTGGGATTTCAGTGAGACCACCATACCTGATTTTGTGTGTGCTGGAGTTCAAATCCAGGGCTTTCCGTGTGCTGGGCAAGCACTGTTGTCTCGCTGAGCCACATCCCCGGCCATAGTTGAATTTAAGCTGAGATTCGGCCATTTTTAATTCCCAGGGCTTCATTACATACAACAATAAACTACCAACTACCATAAGGGCTAGAATTACTGTTTTGCCAATGAATAAATTGAATAATCACTAATGAATCTAGATTCCATTCCTTTTCTACAGCACTTTGTAACCTAATAACATTACAGCACGTCTCTACACATACCTTCGTCCCCGCTTATTTCCCTAGCTGCGCCATTAAAAGCTGAAAAATGTTCTTTATCTCCCATGAACACTGTATCTGCTTAGAATTCCTAACCAGCTTGCAGAGCGCTGACATTATGCACATTTAATTATCTGTATGATTAGTTCTGCTTTCTAGAGTTAGAAAAGGAGCTGAGTGTTTCTATAAGACAATAGCATCATACTGGTTTTGATGGTCATTGCATATTTTGGAAACAAAAAAAGAGAAAATATGCAATAGATCTGGAGAGATCAAATTCGCAAAAAAGAAAGAGGTTAATGTGTGTCTTGTAAGACTGTAAATAAGCAGAGAGCTAAGGGATGTAGCTTAGTGGTAGAGCACCTGCCTAGCATCCAACACAAGGCCCTGGATTCAATCCCCAGCAATACACACACACATACCCCACAAACTGCAGAAGAAACAGAAGTCTGAGAACCAATGTTAAATTTGATCCTAAGTAAGTACTGACTGAGAAGCCTGGTGCTGAGAACCTTAGGAATACTGCATTAAGCAAAATAAAGCCTTTGAACTCCTGTTCATCTTAGAGGAAGAAACAAGACGTGAAGTCTGCACTGTGCCAGCTGATGGAAGACAGGGATTTGGGGTTGGAGGTAGATATGTTTTATGAAAGGGTATCTGGTACAGAGGCATGTCTAGTTCTTGTAAAGGGAAGTAATGTTACCCTTGATCATTAACAGGTTAACTTACAGCTGTGTACAAGATCATGTATCCTGGGGAACCTTGATGTTTTCTTAAACACAGGGCTAACAAAATTCTCACCTAATTTGGCCGAGACAGGAACTCTGTTCTTGAGCGGTACCAGACGATCTTTACATGACTTCTCCAGTGGTAACTCACACTTTATGTGACGCCTGAAGTTCTCCCTCAGAATAGAACGAATCACCTTAACAATGCTAGTTTTGCTCTCGCTGTCACTGGGAGAAGAGAGAGAAAAGGGAAGTAGGTTGTAGCAGCCTCCTACTTCATTGTGGGCCCTCCTGGGTGGGGACCTCGCCTGCACCTCCCAGGTTAGCAAGCTACCACACCAGTGTGCGCATGCCTTACAAAAAGAAGGGAGAACTGATCGTTCCAACATTCAGACAATGTGCATCTGATCAACGTAGTCTTCAACTAGACCTCCAGTTACCTTTTTTAGGGTGAAGTTGTGCCCTCATATCAAAGGGGCACTAAAAATAGCACACATACGTTTTTAAAAAGATTTTATTTTACTTATGTGTCTCAGTATGTCACACGTGTGTGGGTGCCCTCAGAGGCCAGAGGAGGATGTTAGATCCCATGGAGCTGGAGTCAGGCAGTTGGAAGCTGCCCTCATATGGGCACTAAGAACCAAACCTGAGTCCTCCGGAAGAGAAAGCAAGTGCTCTTAACCACTGAGACATTTCTCCAGCCCCTAAACTCCCTTTTAAAATAAGAACTTGTCTTGTACCCGTTGGTGATTTTTCAGTGTCAGAATTACCTGCAGCTCAGCTGGAATGTGGTTTCTGGCCGTCCTTCTATCTCTGACTTCGTATGAATCAGCTCCCATATGGAATTGTTTTCAGTACCTGGGTAAAAGAGGAGGAAACGGGTCTCCGACTCTGCCAAACGCTGTGGTTAAGAACACCTGTGAAGCTTAAAATGTAAACAGTTCTAACCCGTCATTCCTTCTACAGCTCGTTCTGTGTGATATCAGCAAATCGTTACCAAAAGTGAGAGGCTTTTTGGCTACAGATTGCATTTCCTGTTGAAGTTTTCCAGATTCTACCTCTCAGAAAGAGGTTAAATGGATGACATTCTTCACCCTCTTCTGAAGTGTGTGTGGTTTACATTTTTGTTTTGTTTTGGGTGGTGGTGATGGTTTTGGTTGGTGTTGGTTGGTTAGTGTGGTGTGGTGTGGTGGCGGTGGTGGGATGGGATCTCACTCTGTAGCCCCAGGTTGGCCTTGAATTTGTGGCGAGCCTCCTGTCTCACACAAGTTGTAAGATTAAAGACATGGACTATGTGGAGAGGTGACTCAGCAGTTAAGAGCACTTGCAGCTCTTCCAGAGGACCTGAGTTCAGTTCCTGTCACCCACATGGCAGCTCACAACCAGCTGTAACTGCAATTCCAGGGGATCTGATGCCCTCTTCTGGCTTCTGTGGGCACTGCACTCGCGTGGTACACTTACATACATGCAGGCAGAGCACTCATACACATGAAATAACAAGGAAGTCTGTTCTTTCTGCCTCGTGCTGTTTTTCAGTGTTGACAGTTTCTCTAACAGTGAAACACTGAGAGGAGGCTCTCTGCAAGAAAAAGGCCAACCACTGCCACTTGTTGGCTCCCGAAAGTTTGTGGAAAAACATCAAAACACCCTCTTCTGTTGTCATTTTCTTTGACTGTAAAGTAAAACAGCTGCAGAATTTCCCTAAGTACTATGGTTTGGGGGTGTCCCCGATGCCCATACCCTAAAGGCCTGGTGGTTAGCCGACAGCACAACTGGAAAAAGGGGAGGAAGTAGGTGGGTGGGGTGTGCTCCAAGGGGTTACTGGTGCCCCGCCCCTTCCTGTCTCTACTTCTTGACCACCACCAAGTGAACAGACCTCTGCTCTCTCGCTGCCCCTGGCATAGTGTGCTGTGCCACCACAGCCCAAACTGATAGGGCCAAATTTACTAATAAATTTAAATCTTTCCTACTCAGCAGGAATTTTCAAGCAAACAAAACCCCAGCTGATCAACACATTAATCCTTTCTCTTTTATTCCACAATTAAACATATAAAAATGGGTGGCTGTGGTGGCACAGGCCTTTAGTCCAAGCAGAGGTAAGTGGATCACTGTGAGATGGAGGCCAGCCTGGAGAGGTCTACATAGCGAGTTCCAGGCCAGCTGGGCCTACATAGTGAGACACTGTCTCAAAAACAACAGCAAAAACTCAGACATAACACAATGGTTTTTGTCATCATATTCCACAGAGTAGTAGTTACCTGCTGCATTTCCCAGTCTAACTTGAAGTGCGGATATGGGGATTAACCAGCGGAATTTAAATGGATCCAAGTCAGCAGAGTTGTGTGCAGGCCGGGAATTGGAAGGCTGTAACATGAGAGACCACCAGGCAAGGGATTAAAGTTGTGTGCTACACAGTGCACCGACGCATCCTGTTGGATATGGGTGTGACTCTTGTGGGTGTCTAGATTCATATGAGCCAGGAATGCACCCAACTCCCAAAGACCTCACAGGCTTCGGGCTGACCTACAGTGAGAGTTCAGGGAGTGCAGGGTTCCCCATCTCTAAGCAACAGTGCCCAGCCATACCCTCCCAGCGCCTCCCATTCCTGATGGCTCTCTTTTTATTTTATGTGTATGAGTGTATTGCTGGCATGGATGTAGGTGCACCTGTGTCATGCAATGCCCACGGAGGTCAGAAGAGGGTGTCCGATCCCCTGGAATGAGTTACCAGTGGTTGTTAGTTGCCAAATGGGTGCTGGGAATTGAACCTGGGTCCTCTGCAAGAGCAGCCAGTGCTCTTAACCACTGAGCCATCTCCCCAGCCACCCCCGATGGTGTATTTAAGACAAAGTTGTGCAGACCCCTGTATGGAACCACACAGGCTATTTTCCAGAATAAAAGTTGGTTTTCCATTCCAAACACCCACGTGGGTGTTTGTCTAAGTCGTATTTTAAAACGTACTGTGTGGAGTGACTTGGAGATGCCCTGAGTACTTGCTTGATATGGTTAGTCCTCTAATGTTGGACAGTGAGGCTTTGACCCTTAGCAAGCTTTTCAGTTTAACATCATAGGGGAAGGCAGCTATAAAACAGTAGCTTTAAGAAAAAGTATTTTTCTTACCAATTTCTTTTTCAGCTTGCAGTTTTCTTTGTAAACCAGTATGACAGCTCTCTTAAAAACTTAAGGGAAAAAGAAAAAAAAAAGTCTTGTTATTTACTCAAACTTCCAAAGTTAAAACAGAGCAGGATGCTTCATGAGCCCAAAGCTCTTCAAAGTGATGGATCTCTAAGATCACTATGTGTTAACCTCCTTTGACTTGACCTGTGCAGCAGTCCTCCATTTCCTGTTGTACCGACAGCTAGGGCTGCAGCAGCTCGGGGACACCACACCATGCTTTTCTCCCACCTCAGTGAGAACTAAGATTTTGAAATGCTGTGCACTGTTCAGATAGCAGGTTTCGAAACAGTCTTCTGAGATGATTCCTCTGCTGACTGCTAAGTCAGCAACCATTGCAGCATTTGTCTAACTCCCAGAAAGCAGGAGTTGCTGGGTGAGGTAGTATGTTAGTCTGCTAATGCTTCTGAGTGGAATACTAACCAAATACTGTGAGCTCAATGTCCTTTCTGGCTTTTCCAAGAGACAGAAACGGATTCAACCAGGACACTGTAGAATGCATCATAAGTTCCCCCATGGAGAGTTCTGTTACCTGCATTGTAAAGACAGGAAATAAAGATGTGCAAACCCCAGGAGTAGGCTGTTTGATGCCAGACAAGGAATTACCTAAATATGGTCATTGCAAGTAAATGCATGTACGTTCTGTTTGGATTTATGGTCCCTAATCGATACAGGGCATTAAGTAGTGGAAGTTCTGTACATAAGAGCTAAGCATTAAGTACCCCACTGATAAAGGGTTGATCTCGGGCTTCCTGCATGCTAGGTCAGCACTCTACCACTGAGCTGGATACCCAGCCCTCTATTTTTTATTTTTTGCTGTTGTTTGGAGACAGGGTCTCTCACTAAATTGCCCAGGCTGGCCTTGAACTTACTCTCTAACCCAGGGCAGAGTGAATTTTCAGTTCTTCTACTTCAGCCTCCTGAGTAGCTGGGATTACAGGCCTGTGTCACTGTTAAATAATACAGAGGTGATGGCATTAGCCTTAGTACAGACTTAACATAGGTCCACCTCATGGGCTATTCCATTTCTGTAACAGTTCTGCCACACTGTGCTCATTCATCTAAGGGGTTGTGTTAGTATTTACTACAGGTTCTACTGTGTTTACCACCTCTGATCCCTAAGCTACCGTAGGCCTGCTAATAATAAAAATACTAACATTGAAACTGACCATAATAAAAATAAATAAATTCTGGTTCTTTTCTATTACTGCCTTCTACTTAAACTATATTGCTTCTTACATGTGCTTTCAAAGCTCAGTGCTCTAAATTTAGCAATAAGACAGATGAAAAAGATAAAAAGTCAGTTGTCCCTGGGATTGTTTTGAGTAAGCGGAAATGGAAAAGGAAGTGAAATGGAAGAAACCCTCCCCGCCTTCCTTCCTCCGTCCTCCCAGCCTTCCTCTGTCTTCCCAGCCCTGCCTTCCCTGTGTTCTAGCTTCTGGGACTTTGACATCACACCCATGGGAAAAAAAGGAAGGGAGCGGGATACCAGCTCAATGATGCTTCTCTCGTCTTTGCGCACTGCTAACATGACACGATTACGTTTTTTAGACCAATTGAATACATTATGTTTCTATGTAAGTTGCATAGTCTATTGCATATATTAAGAGAAAAAAAAAAAAAAACCTGGAGGCTTTGTCTCCCCACCTCAGGAAAGTCCTAACCAAGTAGCTACCCTGGAAGGTGCCCTAAACTCCATCCACCCAGCATGAATCTGCTCCACGACTAAGGTCCACAGACCTCCTTCTCGGTGCCGCTCTGCTCCGCTACGAGCTGGTCGAACACTGTTCCATAATCCTCGTAGATCTTCTGCATCTCATTAATATGGCTTGCTACTTTTTCCATTGCTTTTAGTGCTTCTGAAAAACAAGAAGGCATGCTTGTTCTAAGTCCCATCTAAAGCAGTACTGAAAGTGCCCAGCTCAAGCCAGTGTGGGAGACCAGCTCTCCCACAGCAGCAGGATTCAGGTGTAGCTCACGACAGACCATTCAATCCAGGCCTTGAAATCAGGAATATTCAGGTTATTTTCCACCTCAAATTCTCTTGGAAATAAAGGAGACTGTAAATTGCCAATAACAATGATAGCTAAGCTTAACCCAACCATGTATCATGACAGTGGTTTCTGTATCTCATCAAAACCCCATGGAACTTCATGACTACAACCAATCCCATTTTATAGATGAGAAAACTGAGGTGCAGTTTTGCCAGAACTTGAGAAAAACAAGTGGCAGTGCCAGAATTCAACCCAATACTGGATGGCTTCTGGGCCTGCTTGAATTCAGCATCTCCTCTGAAACTACCTCAAGGACTGGGAATCCAGACAGTTTTCCAGTTAGAATTTACAGGACTGGAGGAATAGCTCAGTAGTAGAGCACTTGCCTAGAATACACAAGTCCAGGGTTTGATTTCCCAGTACCAGGAAAGAAAGAAAAAGCCTTACAGATGTCTGTAAAAAATGTCCAACTTGCACTTACATGTGGTGTTTGTTTATAACTTGGGCAAGGGCATTATGAGAGACAAATGACTTTGTCACAGCCAGACAAAATCTCTGGTCACCTCCAGTATATTTTATACTTTGTTCTCTAGATTCAGTATTGTTATTTCAGCTCACCCAGGAGGGGACACAAGGAAGGGTTTTAACAGACCATGCAAAATGACCTATATCTGAATAATCATTTTCTTACAGAATTTAACTTTCATATGAAAATTCCGTCCTTGTTGCCTATGATATCAAAGCATATTTGTCATAGAAGATCAGCAAGTTTGACTTACGCTCTTCTCTGTGCTTATTTTTCTCAGTTTGACTAACTTTTATTAATCAACCTGTTCTGACCAGGAAGCTTACGTTGTGGCTTAAGTAGACCCGCTAGTTGCAAGATGTGTAAAACCAATCATTTTCTAGTCCAAGTGAAGCATCTCTCTAATGGATGCTTAGCTCTCAAATTGAGGGCCTGAGTGCTTCTGTCAAATTGCACCTTAGATCCGTCATTTCAGTGGTTACCAGAGACTCAGCCTCTGCTCTTCTGTAAAGCAGATCTTCCACAGGATGCCGATGTTGGAGCTGAGTACTGTTCAGAGATCACCACAAGGTGGCGCCTGGTCCAGCACACTTGAACAGCAGCTCTGGAGCAGCCAGTGCCGCAGAGCATCCGAAGTATAGGAGAGACTGGTCTGGGGTTCCTACAGCACTGTCACAAGGGAAGAGATGCAGGCCCTGGTCTAGCACCGTGGACCAGCTCTTCAATGCAAGTAGCCTCCTTCCAGCTCGGGGCCTCTTTCCAGCCTTACCTGTCAGGTGATAGTGCTCCTCACTCTCGTGGTCTGTCAGGGACACAAGCTCCTTGAGGAGCAGAGGGTACTTGAGCACTCTCTGAACAGGCTTGATGAGGTAAGACTCCAGTGTGGAGGAATGCTGCTTAGTAGGATTGCGGGCATCCAGAAAAGCCTTGAAAGCTTTATCAGTTTTAGCTGCAAGTAATGGATAAAAGATCCTTAGCACAGGATGAATTAAATGGATGAATAACCTCTTTATCCTTCAGTGACAATTCTAAATCGTTTCCATGACCCTAGTGGCATTCTGTAATAAAAACCCAAGCACATCAGTGCGCCAGGTACCCAGTAATCAGCATGTGTCCACATCACAGCTCTGACAAGGCCTGTGAGTGAAGGAAACTTGCTAGGATGGCAGACCATACAGTCCACACTACAGAGAGGAGCATCGAGTCGCGATGTGGCAGTATCTGACTTCATATACACATTGCATTCATGTTCATGACAGAGATTGTTACAGGTCACCAAAAAATAAGTTTTAAACAATTCCACAGCTCAGGGCTTATCTGAAAAATAAGTATCATTTTGCCTTTGAAAAGTTGATAAGCCCAGATGCCTTCATCCCCACAGCTCCAAGCAGACTAAACCTCACAGCAGAGTAAACAGTCCTTTTCACCAGGTGTGGCACCAGGCTCCTCTAACAGCAAGAGCTTCCTGTCTGGTCTGAGTATCATAAAGGGTGCACACCCAAATCCAGGTCATGCGATAAGGCAGTAGACAACCAGCCATTGCCCTGGGTTCCACTGGGTGCCATTGGCTGGCCAACTGTTTAGGGCACAACCAGTTTGACTGAAGAAATGCCCTTATTCAGGCTCTGTTGCAAGGGCAAAACCTACACTGTTTAGGAGATGCTGCATCATTTTGAGCACAATTGCCAGACCATGTTGGCGAGATGATCTCACCTTTATGGCAAAGAAGAAAAAGTTGGACTCTGCTTTTGTCCTCCTGTGACTGTCCACAGCAAAGTGCTTGTGAAAGGAAATGCCAGTGGACACAGACCTCCGTTCAAAGTGACTGAAAAAGATGGAGTTTTGCATTTTGGCTAAGTCTCGTTTATTTAAAATATTCTAAGATCCATTTTTTAAACTGGAGTTTCTGGGATACTGTGAAGTTCTGCACTTAAACCAAATGGCAAAGCTGCATCCATGGGGATGAGACCAGAGAATGTCAGAGAAGCCTGTCCACAGCTCCCATGCCAGTGAAGGGGGAGGGCGGTCTCTGGAACGGGGCTTTTCCCAGTTCCACCGGGGAAGCTTACTCATAGTTATACACTTCCTTGGAGTTTGGTGGGAACATTTGCTGTTGGTCTGCAGTGGCTCCACAGGCCTAAGAAGGTTAACAAAACAGCAGCAGGAACAGAACATACATTCAGTCCCATCCAAGGTTTACGGATGCAAAGATTTTACAGAAAGGAATGTGCTGAGCAAGGAGCCACCTGCCTTTCAGCAGCAGAGTGACACATGACAAAGCTCTAGGGCCCACATGTTTACCACTCCCATAACAGAATAATCTGAAATTTTTCCCTTTAACTTTTGTCATTTACGAGGTCAAGAAAGGAGCACAACCCATTAAAATTAGACTTAGCTTCTATTTGCTGAATACAGACTTACTCTTAAGAGTTTAAAATACAAAAAAAAAAAAAATACAAAAAAAAAAAAAAAAGATATGAACAACCTACCTTGCTCTAGAACCTTCTGTACTTTAATGTGGTTGGCACAGAATCCACTGTACAGTTTAAAGTGGTCCGCGTAATAGAGGAAAGAGCCTCCCAGGGAAAAGAGCAACTTCTAGAAGGGAGGAAAGAAGATCAAATCAGACACGATGCCCGCTGTGTGCTCAGTCCACACCTGGAGAACAGTCTCGGTGTTGCCCCAGCAGACCTTAGACTGATGGAAAAGTTCTGACAGTGTACAGTCAAAGGATTAACTACATCTAACCAGGGAGGCTCCAACTGATCTAAGAGGGAAACTCCCAGAGCAGCCTCTCATGATGAACAGTGCTGACCACATGCTTTGGCCCTTTCTACTGTCTTCCACCTTCTTATCCCTGGAAGAACTTCCTGTCAGCCAAGATCTTTACACTTACTCCTTCACAAAGGAGAGAGTTCCACCATGGGCACCTGAAACTCATGCTTTCCAACCCCATTTCCCAGAACCACACAAAACAAGAATCCAGTGCCTGACAGCTGCTCTTCAGAAGCTGTTGCCCCAGGTCCCCCCTGGAAAAGTGAGTCAAGAGCATACATGGTCAGCAACCAAGTGACCACAAAAGTGGTGGCCCGGCCTGCTGACCACTGGAAAGGGAAAGCACGCAGCCACCTTTCCCCACCTATGAGGAAAACAGTGTGGTGAAATGTACTAAGTATCTTGACAGGAGAATTTTGTACCCTACCCACCTATATTTGATTTAAATCCAAGTCCAAAATACTTACTCTAAACTGTGAGGGAGTTTCCAGGACATTAAAGTCTGAGGAAGCTGAGATCCCATCCTCCAGAGTCTCCAGAAACACCTTCTGAAACTCCAGCATCTCTGGCAGGCTTCCAAAAAGCGACTCCATCTGCATGAAAGTTGGGGGGGGGGGGGTCAGCTCAGATGAGCTGGATACTCACTCAGACCCACAGATACCCCACAAGGAAGTGTGCCCCAAGGAGGAATTTACAGAGATGGGGTATAATCTATACCTAGAGAGACACAGAGCTCAGGCCCCTACAATTCCACAGTTCTAAGATAACTCTTTAAGTGGATGTGAAATTTCAGAATTCAAATCAGGGAAAATAGAAGTCAATAGAAAAAGATTCATTCTTACGATTCAATGTTAAAGATTCATATATTGAAGAGGAATTTGGGGCCATATCTCCTACTACAAAAAGAGGACCATCCTGCACTGTAAACTTGCCACTGTGCTTCTTGGGACGGAAGCCACAGCAATGGCTTGAAAGGAGGCCACACAGAGGACTTTCTAAAGACCCTTCAGCTTCTCTTTGGGAATCCTTAGCTATACCCTGGACAGCTGTGTCCAACCTGCAACCTGTGGACACACGTAGCCATCCACAGCTGTGAATGCTGCCTGACACAAGATCAAGTTGCTTTACACATGAGACTGGGGCGGGGGGGACTGTGGTTGTTCTCAAGTATGAACTTTGTAGAAGATATCATCTGTAATGGCAAAAGGATCTAGGACATCTGCTAACAGGATGAAGGACACAACCGGCAGGTCAGTACAGAGAAAAAGTATTCACTATTTACCTCATCTTGAGTAAGAAAAGTCTCATTCTGAAGTGGCTCCAAGTATAATTCAAAGAGGCAGCTCAGATCCTGAAAGATAAGACAAGAGTCTCTTTAACACTCAAATCTCCAAAATAATCATTGGACTCCAATAGCCTGGGCAGCAACTCCAAAGGCTCTCAGTTACGAATGGTGGCATTTGTCCTGTTGAGACACTTGACCTTGAAAGTGGTTATCATCACTCACTATATGAAAAGCTAAAGTATAAGCACCTTCTCTGTTTAATTAACTTCTGTTCACAGAACAGGCTCTGTCCTTCCTGCCACAGAAGCTGCCACTTCTCCAAAGGGATTTGGGGGCGGGCAGGGGGCTAGGTTAACGCACATGTGGCCAGACGCCAGTGACCTGGCTTTCTCTTCTGTGTCAGGGAGCAAGGTGACAGCTCCAGTGTGGGGCTGGGAAGGGCAAGAGCAGACCTGGGGAGTTCTTCAACATTAGGTTGAAACTAGCAGAATCTCAAACTCCCAAGTTCAAATACAAGGATAAGCATCCAAAGATTAGCAGTCATAATGTTTACAGTGTCTCTATTGGACTAGGTTCCCTCAGAGAACACACAGCAGTGGGAGTATTTTCAAAGTCCATTAAGGACTTTATATTTAAAAACTTGAAGCCAAGAACAGTATATAATTTAATGATAGGAAATATTTCTTCTGTGTTCCATTTGTTCAGAGGAATTATGAGTCCTAAAATCCAGCACTAGTTGACTTACAAAGTCAGTGACACAGACTCCCTGGTTTTACAAAGGCCAAGTCTTATGAGCCAAAGAGCTTCACAAAGCCCGAAGTGGCCCCAGAGCCTTCCTGGTGACAGCTCTTAGAGTCAGGACTGCGGCACAGCTGCCGCTTTACAATACAACCTCCCTGGCTTCCCTCCCTCACCATGTTCCACAGTGAGAAGGGAGCCATGATCAATAAGCAGATCAAATCTCAGGGATACACAGATGTGAAAGACTTCAAGGAACATGCAGAGATTTGGGGTTAAAGTGTAATAAAAGGAAAACTCTGTGTTAAATGTCAGCAACAACAACGAAAGGAAAGAAAGAAGCACGTGTGTGGGGGTATGAATTGTAAGTGGGCACCAGGTGCTGGTTATTTTGTCAGAGACAGTCACTTCTGTCCAGGCTAATGCCACTCGCTTGAAGGACTTACTGTATAGCAAGAGCAGGTCACACTGAGCTGGGGAGGGCAAAGAACCTCCATGCCTGGAGCCCTATGGAAACAAAGGGCAGGTTCTTGCAGAAAAGGAAGAGTTGGTCCCTCCTGCCTACCTGATCACACATCACCACCTGCCTATCTGATCACTGACCAGCCACACACTGAAATGAGCCTTTGGGTGCAGTGTAATCCAAGAAGATGGAAAGCTGATGACAAAAGGGACTCGACTGTACTCGCAACTCTGTCCCAGACTCTGGAGGTGCAGGCTCCATGATGCCTCTCAAGATGTCAGAAGGCCCTATAGCCTCAGAAACATCCACAGCTCCTAGAGCTGCTGGAACAGTTGTCACTGCGGGTATGCAGTCACCCAGAAGATTTTGAGCTCTCTGACAGTCACTGCATCTCTCTACATGGGATGCAGGATGAGACATGATGGAAAGTGAAATTAAAGTCTCTTTAGCTTTTCTTTCTCCCCACAGACCAAAGGAAGGGGTTCTGGGACTACTTGAGAATCAGATTTTGGGGAAATCCCAGGGGAAACTCCAGTGGCATGCTGAAAAGAGACTCCGATCTGCCTTTGTTGTTGGGGTTTGTTGTAGTTTTTTGAAACAAAGTCTCATGTAGACTACGGAGCCACAAACTCACTCTGTAGCTGAGGATGACACTGAACTCCTGATCCTCCTGCCTCACTTCCCAAGTACTGAGATTATAGGGATGTAACACCACACCCAGTTTATGCAGTGCTGGAGATGGAGCCCAGGGCTTTGTCATGCTCAGCAAGTGCTCTACTCGCTAAACTGCATCCCAAGCTCTTCTAATCTGTCTTGTGGAGGAAAAGACAACAGCCACATGTGTGCATCAATGTTTAACTCTTGGACTTAGCAGAATAACTTGGAAAGCTAGTAAAGAACACAGGGACCAGAGTTGAAGAGATGACTCAGTGGTTAAGAACACTGGCTGTTCTTCAGAAGACCTGGGTTCAAATCCCAGCACCCACACAGCAGCTAACAACAACCATCTATAACTCCAGTTCCAAGGGATTCAATGCCCTCTTCTGCCCTCATGGGCACTACATGACATGGCTGTACTTACATACATGTATGCATAACACTCATACACATAAAATAAAAACGTTTTAAAATTTTTTTTAAAAAAAGAACACAGGGACCAATGAGAGAGGACTCCAAAGGCCATGCAGCAAGACTGGCACCAAACCAGGCTTGGATTCCCAGCCACTATCTTCTGCCCTGCTCTTCCAGTAACTTAAAATCGAAAGTAGCTTAAAATAGCCCCAAAGCATCAGCAAATACTTAAAGCAAAGAACTCTGTCTTCTCAGACTCCTGTGTTGATAAAATGTTTCCTCAAAGCATTCACTAGGGGCTGATCAGGTAAGTAAGTGGATTCGGTGGCTACCCAAGCCCTTGACAGCTATGCATTTATCATGTTATAAGAATGTCCCACATGACAGCCCGAAACACACATGAATGGGCTTGCATTCTGCACAGGGACCTCTGTGGACAGTGCTAGCCCAAGGCCCACCTGGCCTCTGATGACCTGTATTCATGGCCCCCTGGGTCCAGATTGCTCCCTGTTCCTCATCACCTAAAGTGATCTCTCTCTACCCCTCTTGCTAAAGCACTGCAGACTCCCTTCCCACAGATTGCAAATGACAAACTAGAACATCTGTTTCCATAGTGAAAGCTACCTTGGTTACAAAAACGAACCAAGAACCTAATTTTTTTTTTTAAGTCTTCTCAGCCGTTCCACCCTCTCACCTCACCCTCCTCCCTGCAGTAATTCACCTCTTCAAAGAGCACATGTCTACCTTCTGAGTGACAGGAGTCAAGGGCAGAGTGAACGCTCATTACCTTCACATAGGACTTCTCTGTGTCCACCAGCTCCTGGATGACTTTTCGGAGGCGGTCTGCATCTGAGAGGTGGCGAGCCAACGGCTTGGGAGGTGGATCCTGGCTCTCTCTTAGTGCTTCCATGCCGTTGGTGTGGGTGTTGTTAAAGCCCCTGCAGAGCCCAGCGATCTGCTCAGCACTCTGATGAGAAGAAGGGGAAAGTCATGCTCAGGATGCTGCTTGCTAGGACTAGGTGCTCACCTGGGATCCTGGGTGTTTCCATCTGTGCCAGGCACTGCAAGAGTCTCACAGGAGCCTGGGTCTGCAGCAGATGGCTTCATTCACTTCAGACCACTCTGGCTATCATCTAAGAGTCCAGTGAGGAAGATGGCCTCTACGTTTAGTGTTCATCCACAGTACTCCTCACCATCGTAAGAGCTGTGGTACATACACTTCTAAACTACTAGACTCAGAGTCAGACATTGGCCTAACTCTCAGTAGCAAAGTTGATTGCTCTAAAATCCAGACAATAGAGCTTTCTGAACAGAACACACAGGAGGCAGACACATTGCATCCACCCTGTCCCTAGGCAGTTGGTCCAACCAGCTTTCCATCTCACAGAGTTCTGGGAGGCACCATGACAATTTTAGAATGGCTTGGCCCTAGTCTGCCTGGAGTTCTGCCTTCAAATCTAACCATTTAGCCTGAGCCAAATAGCAGTTATAAATGAAAATCTCAAGCTGGCTATGCATATGCTGGCAACAGAGTGGAAGCTGAGAGACAAGAGATAGAAGGCCCTCTGCAACCCTGGGGGATGCGGAGCCCAGCAGAGAGCACAGGCAGATGCTACAACCGAGCCTAGTGAGGGCAAGGGGTTTCCCACATGACCAGAGTGTGGGAAACCTTCAGAGAGTGGGGCAAGGCGAGGTCTCGGCGAGTCAGCATAGTCAAGCCTAGGGAGTGTGGGCCCAGATACACAAGTAAATCAGATAAATGAGTTCTGTGAGTACAAGATTAAGAGAAGCCACAACAAGGAAGTGTGGAAGCATCAAAGCCCTCGATGCAAGTTCCTACACAGATGTGAGTCCCGTCTGCTAATTGCCTTCCCAAAGCCCTTTATGATACCCCTGCTTTAGGCTGGTGATGTAAGATCCCAACAATGTCTCCCTGAATGTGTCCATATACATCCCAGGGCATCATCAAATCACATTCCAGGTGTCTTTACTGTTTCTTCCCATCCATGTACATCCCCAACTCCATCTTACCACCTACCATTTTGGAAGTTTGTCAAGGACACGCCCCATGGGTTTCTTGGCTGCTGTCCCCACATGCCCACCTTGCTCAGTGTCCATGCCACCTCCCTTGCATTGAATCCTTAAGGGCAGAAAAGATGGCTGTGTTTAAAAGCACCTGCTGAGCATACAAGAAGAACTAAGTTTGAACTCACATAAAGGCCAGACACATAGTGTAAGCATCTGTAGTTCCAGCACTCTAGTGAGGAGATAGGAGGACAAGTCCTCAGAAGATCACGTCAGCATGGCATGTGCAGCAGAAAATAAGGACCTGTCTTAAGGCGGAGGGTGAGGGCCGACACCCAAGGTTGTCCTCTGGCCTCCAAGTACACGCCATGGCACACATGTACCCACATCCACATCCACACATGAATAACATACACACAAACAAAAAAATTGTAATAAAATATTACTGAACAATAAAACAACATAGTTCCAGTGCAAATAACTAATAATGCCTCAGAAAAGCCCACTACTCTGGCCCACCAGCCCCTTCTGTTCCTCCTCCTTTGGTTCCTGACAGTGTCTTCATATGATGGAAAAAGAGAGTCAAGACAAAAACTCAACAGTGATCCTCTGCCTAGTCTTTACAGTCAGTTTAATGGGCACCAACTACCGGCCTGCTGTGTCTCCAAAGAAATAGAAGAGGGCTCCTGCCTAAGCAGAGCCTCGCCAAGGTTAGAAGCACCAAAGTGCAGCCTGAGCAGTCTGGGTGGCACAGTGTGAGTGGAACAGATGGGACACGTGGACAGTTACAGGGAGAACCACCATGTTGGAGTAGAGTGCCACGGGAGTCTTCAGCGAAGAGGTAGGATATAATGTGGTCCTGGAAAAGGCACCCAAGGGAAAATCAGCTGTGAGTTAACAGTACAGTGGAAAAATGGACCTGGTAATATATACAGAGCCCAACTCAAGGGGAGGTGACAGACAGCAAGGCTCAGCGATGCCAGTCATGAGAACGCTCCAACTGCTGCTTTCATCTGGACATGAACCTTGGCAAACAAGGCAACAGAAATGGACAGATTACATTTGCAACTAGACATATTTTCTGCTTGTTTTTATTTTTAAATGTGAGCATGCATATTTCTGATGCCCGTTAGAAGACGTATATAAATTTCAGTAAGAAAACAGGTATGGAGGGGCTGAGACCATAGCATAGTTGGGAGAGTGCTTGCCTAGCATGCACAAATTTCATGGGTTTGATCCTAAGCACTGCCTGCAAACCAACATAGGCACAGTGGTACACCTGTGTAAGGCCCAGCACTCATGAGGCAGAGGCAGGAAGATCACAAATTTAAGGTCTTCTTCAACTACAGAACAAGTCTGAGGCCTGCCTGGGCTACATGAGATGATGTCCCCACCACCCAAAAAATAGACATGGATCTGAAAGCATCAGAATTTAGTTTGATTTTTCAAATGTTTCATATCATGTTTACAAGCACCAAATTTTATGAGTCATTACTGAAGAAACTCCAATACTGTCATTTCCTAAAAGCCTAATGTCATATAGAACAGTATAGCCAAAGGTGGCATCCTTTCTCATCCAGGAAATAAGCACCATGAGGGGATATAACCACAGCACTCAGAATCCTGCCTGCCCTCCCCTCCTCGCCGGTGGACCTCAGCCTCACATTAACTTTGTCTAAGAGTTTTCAAACACCAGGTCTGGATCCACTGAACAGGAATCAATGGGGTCCCATCATAGATGGTGGGTTTTTGTTTTGTTTTTGCTTTTTGAAACAAGGTCTTACTATGTAGGCCTGACTGGCCAGGAACTTTTGTAGACAAAGCTGGGTTCAAACTTGCAGCAATCCTTCCACCTCAGCTTCCTGAGTACTGGTATATGCCACCGTGCTCAGCAGTGTTTTGTTTTAAAGACAGGGTTACCCAATGGAGCCAAGGCAGGCTTTACACTTTGATCATCTCTCTACCTCAGCCTCTCAAGTGCTGAGATTGCAGGCACGTACCACCATGCTCGACACTGTGGATACTTGTTAAAAATTTCCCAAGTAATGCTGATGCATAGCCTGAATGGGAACTGATAGTCTACTCATCTACCCATCAGGACAGCCCTGGTTCTAGGTTTAGCTGTCTACTAACTGTTAAAAAGTCCATGATAATAACAGATTCCAAAACCCACTTACTTGAAATTTCTATCCTGGGATTTGTACCACAAGCTCAGACAATGCAATTCTGCAGTCCTGAGAACTAATAGTTTCCAGGGCTATGGGATCTATATTAAGCTTGCATATACTGTATAAAATAAGATCTGAAGAAACGCACCATAAGTAAAGTGGCATCTGCTGAGATTACAGCTTTGCCTTGCTGGGATGTCAAAAATCACACCTAACAGTGCAGTGTTAAAATAACAAGATTTCAAAAATAAAATATCTTGCCATTTTGGAAAACCAGAATTCATTTTAAAAACACTTCTGGTAGGATTAACTTCCAAAAAGTGAGTATTAGCTGGGGTTTTTCAGTGCAAATCTACTTTTTGAGGTACTGCAATTAAGTATTCAGGTGATGCCAAGATGCCTTTTGCACATTTAACAGTTTAGTTGTTGTCGAAGGGCGGTTTCAAGAATTACCTGGATCATAAGGAAGGAGGCTGGGCTTCAGAGCAGAAGCATGACCAGGTGTTTTCCAAGATTTCTTGCTAAAGGGACCTGGGTGGTCACGAGTCAGTTCCTCCATGCTTACAATAGTTATGAGCACTGAATAGTGGCAGGCAGTCTGAGTGGATATGATAAGGCTACCCAGGAACAGTGACATTTCTGAGTCTCCCTTATCTTTACTGAGTCAGCAGCAGTGTCTACCCCACTTACTACATGGGTCAAGGAGAGGGGAAACCTGCACTTGTTAGGCACCTGCACATATGTGGGGTACTCTCACAGAACATGACAGCATTTCTTCTTTTGCCCGACCCCGAGGCTTTGCAGCTGAAGGGCAGGCTGGTCACAGCACTGGCCACTCGTGCATATTCAGCAGAGCACAGGCAAAGCAGGCCTGTTCTCGCACTGCCTCTGCCCACCACATGGTCAGGGCTGTCCTGACCAGGCGTTCTAGGAATGTCATCATTGGCTCCCTCACGGCTGCTTAGAGAGACAAATGCAGCCACCACATAGACTTGCACAGACTGAGAAGTCTGTCAAGCCAGCTCTGTCCCAGACCCAGGAACACTGCTTTAAAAGCAAAGACACTAAGACAAGTCGGAGGCAGGCATGCGTGAAGACTCAGGGACCCAGCAGTGGACGCGTGTGTGGGCAGAAAGCACTGCCCTGCTGAAGTGGAGGCTGATTCTTTCGCTTTTCAGTGTGTAGCAGTCAATAGTGAGACTAAATGATGACTTTTCCTAAAATTTCCTGGAAAAGCAGTGTAATGATACCTCCCCCACCCCACACACAGAAAAAAAAATTTCAGGTTCTTGTTGGGCATGGTACACACCTGAAAATCTAGCACTGGAGAGGTTAAATAAGGGGATTGGAAAACCAAGTCTAGCCTAGGCTACCTTGTTTTCAAAATAATCCATTTTAAATTGTCAGGTGTTTAAAGACACTAAGTTTGAGTCCTACTTGAAAACAATTTCATCTTATTTACAGACAAGGCATGACTCATTGAGAAACTACGAATTCAGACAGATGTCTAAGCAGAGTTCTTGGTTTTGTTCGATGTGTGGCTAAGGCACCTTCTGCCTGTCTGTAAAAGAGACTGAAATGTGTCTATTCTCAAGGAGCCCAGAAAACCCTCTTTGGGGGTGACACCAATACATTCTAGAATATCACGCACCTCAGATGCCCTTCAGAGGAAAGCAGGGCTGAGTCTTCTTGTTCAAACCAAGTTCTGAGTTATGCCATGATGATCCTTCTAACCTGGACAGGATGATCTTTTTCACCGCAAAAATATAACAGC